TCGCTGTGTCTCTCCCTGTCAAATAAATAAATAAAATCTTAAAAAAAAAAAAATTTAAAAGTCTTTCTTGCATTTTTAAAATTTTTAAAAATTGTATTTTGTTGAAATGCCATCAGACATAGGACATTTAGATAGGACCAGAGTTTGACTATGGTGAGGACATTTAGATACGACCAGAGTTTGACTATGTTGCATCCTGCTCCTAAGTCCTGGGGCTCCTTTGCCTCAGAATATGTATCAGTCAACACATTTACCTTATTAAGAACAGCTTGTTGTAACTTTACTAGATGTTCAGTTGTTCACAAAGATGCAAAGCTAACATTTTTAAGAGAGCGATGAAAGTGGAACAGACGTGAACAGCAAGCTGCAGGGAATTAAATGCTGGTAGGAGTTTTACAAGTTGCAAACTAAGAGGAAGGAGTAGGAGTTTGAGAAGGTAGAGTAAAATTTTCTTGAAAACAATGAAGATAATGGCTTTCAGATTTTAAAAACAAAGGGAGATTATCTGTCCTTTTGACTCTATCTAATTGAAGGCTCTTGGAAGGTATGGGTGCCTTTACAAAAAATGCTCACAATGTGGATTGGCATTGACAAAATAGGAAATTAATTTTTTTTGTCAGTTGTATGCATTTAAGAAGTCCCCCATTCCCATGCTCCAGTTGGGATGCTAGTAACTTCGTAATGAATAGATGAAATATGCATTTAGGAATTTTAATGAAATGACCTTGAAGTCTTAAATAACATATTTCTTTAATATAATGTGATGGCTTTGAAAAAGATGAATTTTTTTTTTTAATTTGAGGTGGTCATTTTCTAAGGAGTAGCTCTCAAGAAAATGGTTTTATTATCTCTTTTGACATGTCAGTGGGTTTTGTATTGGAAGAGCAAAACTTCTCTGAGACCAAAGAAAATCATGTCCCCTTTTGTTATAAACCTTTTGTGATTAAATTATAATTAAATTTGGCCATGAAAAGAAGGATAATAGTTTGTGAATAGTGTATAGGACTAACAAGATTGCAAGAGAAATGATTGGACTCCATAAGACAAATTATTTTGAATACCCTTGAAACTGTTTTAATAACAATCATAAGAACTAATTGTTCTAACAGCAAATAAGTGTTCTAATCTCTATGCAAGCTACAAATTATACATGAGCCATGGAATAACGGTGCCAAAGTGGACCCTAGTGCTCATCTCATGACCAGATTTGTACTTGACCATTGAAGGAACCAAGTTCGCTCAAAAACATGCATATGAGGGCTGCCTGGGTGGCTCACTTGGTTAAGCTTCCAACTCTCGATTTCAACTCAGGTCATGATCTCGGGGTCGTGGATCAACGTTGGGCTCTGCACTCAGTGGGCAGTCTGCTGGAGATTTTCTCTCTCCCTCTCCCTCTGCCCCTCCCCCTCCACTTGTGCACTAAAAAAAAAAAGAAAAGAAACATGCATATGAAAATAATGAAACATCTAAAAATATATCTTGCAGTTGAACTTCTGCTTCTTTTTTTTTTTTTAATAATTTTATTTATTTATTTGAGAGAGAGACAGAGAGAGAGAGAGAGAGCACAAGCAGGGTGAGGGGCAGAGGGAGAAGCAGGGTGAGGGGCAGAGGGAGAAGCAGGCTTCCCGCTGAGCAGGGAGCCCGATGTGGGGCTCGATCCTGGAACTCCAGGATCATGACCTGAGCCAAAGGCAGACGCTTAACCGACTGAGCCACCCAGGGTCCCCGAACTTCTGCTTCTTCATACCAGTTTTCACATCTGTTCTGTCCTCGTGTCTGTGTTCCAGCTCCTTCTCCTGGTATGATGTTTGTTTACTGAGAAAATGCTACTTACAGTGGTTGCTCTGTATGAGATCCTGACCCAGGCATGATGAGGTTCACGAAACATAGTCCCTGTCTGCAAGGAGCTCACGTTGCAAGTGGAGGGAAGACCCACGCATGGGAACTGAGGCATCCAATAGAACCACATGTGAACTCCACAGGAGCTCCGAAGTCAGTAGAATTTCATGGAAGGGAGGATCACTTGTAGCCTGCATTAAAGGAGAAAAATATAACAGTTTTTCTGTTCACTTGCCTTGAGTTTTAGGGAAATCCCTCAGACGTCTGGGCTTTAGCTTTCTGAATCGCAAATATGTACTGCATACCTGTACTCCATGGTTTGAGATATGGCCATTCTAAAATGCCTGTGATCAAAGGTTGTGAAATTCGAGACATAATTCAGGTCAAGGAGAGTTCAGTATTTGGCAAGCAAAAAGTAGTCCTTCACCAGTCCTATCATGGGCCTTTCCTCCTCTGCAGAATTTTTGTTTTGTTTTGTTTTTGTTTGTTTGTTTGTTTGTTTGTTTTTAAAACTGCTCTGTGGGATTTTAACGTTTGTCTGAATTTTAGGAGGCAGATGTTTAAAATGAAAAATTTTGTTTTCTCCCTTTTTATGAGCAAAACTGACTTTATTAGCTGCTAGAAATGGAAGTTGGCACAGAATAGGGAATGATTGTTACTGAGAGGTAGACCCCCAAAATTTGGGGAGGATTCCATTTTATTTCAAGTAGCATAACTGTGACTGTACTTCCCTCACTTTCTTGCTCTGTATACAAAGTAGCAAATGGTTAAAAGAAAGTTTTAGGTATGAAACATCAACATATGGGGAATAAATTATATTTCACTGTATATAGCAACTACTAAGAGGAATTCACTGAGACTCTAGAGGAAAACAATGAAGATAATAGAAAAATGGAAAATAGTCTCTCTTGGCCATTTAAAGTAAGGAGAGTTGACTTAGGTCAAAAGGAAGGGAAAAATGTCCTGAGAATGGAACTTAAGTGTTATAAGATGCCATTAAAGCTAGGTTGTGGAGGGGGGTGGGAGGATGGGTTAGCCTGGTGATGGGTATTAAAGAGGGCACGTTCTGCATGGAGCAGTGGGTGTTATGCACAAACAATGAATCATGGAACACTTCATTTAAACTAATGTTGTAATGTATGGGGATTAACATAAGAATAAAAAAAAAAAAAAAGCTAGGTTGTGGAATCTCCTCCCCTGGAAACGTTTGAAAACAAGTCAGATCATCATGTCTCAGGAGAAGTTCAGTGCTGCCTAGAGGCAGGAAGATTAACTGGATTTCGCCTGTGTAGCCTCTCGAGTCACGGGAAAAGCCCTGAAATGCAGTAAATATCCCACACTCTGTTGGCTGAAACTACTGTTCGTTGTAACCTTGGTTACTGTAAGACCAGAGTGAATAAGTGTGTATAAGTCGCAAAATTTGAGTTTGGATTTGAGATTGATGATGCAAGCTGTGTACCTTGTATGTACCTGCGTCGGTTGTTAACAGTGTGCATGCAGGTCTGAAACTCTTCAGAACATAGCTTAGTCTTTTTAGGATTTAGAAAGTACCTGCTTTCTTGCAAGGTCTCAGTACCATTAATCATTCAATAAGTAGCTATAAATAACTACTGTGAACACTGTAAGATACAAGTATGAATTGGGTATGGTTCCTGCCTTCAAGGAACTTCGTCTACCAGTGGAGGTAAAACATATGCATGGATCACCTACCCTGATAAATGGAAAACAGGTCACTGGTATAAGAGTGGCAAGAAAAAGGATTAAACAGCATTGTAAGATTTCAGGGAAGAGAGAGAATTCCTTTGGATTTAACTGAGAAGTGTTTCCTGGCGGAAAATTGCGTCGAAGCGGGCCTTAAGAAATAGGAAGCATTTTGAAGGGTGTAAATGAAGAGGAGGACAAGGACGGGGTGGAATCGTTCCTCCCATTTCCAAGGTACAGACAGGTTCAGTGGAAGCATAAGGAAGCTGGGGGACAGGGGCTGGAAATGCCTCATTGTGGCCCGTATCAAATGCCAGGTCAAAGAGTTTGGGTTCTGTTTGCTCAGTGCTTGTAGTCCCTAGGAAATGATTAAGCACTAGAGGGTTCCTGTCTGTGGGAGGTTTGTAATTTGCTGTTTGGACTGCCAGGGGAAAAGGCTATAAGAGGGAGCCCAGGAAAGTGGCTGCTGAGTCCTCTGAGCCAGAGTTTGCCAAGGGGGTACACCGAGAAACAGTAGTTTCAAGGCATGTTAATAGGTGTTGCTCAGGAAAGGGTCTCTTCCCTAAAATGAACTGGAGAAATAAAAAATTAAGCATTTAAATGAGTTTCTTTGCTGGATAAATTTTCAGAACCTTTAATATTGAGAATTGCCTTGAGGAAACAGGCAAAATGTACACCATTGGCAACACAGTTTAATCGTTTCTCATGGAATATCTCCTGAAACGACTGTTTCTTGGGGCACACTTTGGGGAGCATTGCCCTCTACATCTGCAAATGATGGCTGGAACATGAGTGGTGGTCATATGCATGGAAGCAGAAATTGGATGAGAATCCCAATGCAGGACGCGTCAGCGTTTCCCAGTACATAGTGGTCATTCCGTAACTCTACAGAAAACGAATAAACCCAAGAGTGAGTTATCGGTTTGGTAACAAGACCTGGCCCAAGATGGTATGCTGAAACAGAGAGAATGGAGTCCAGGGTGGGAATGTGGGGAGTTTGGAACTTTGGCTATAAATGGTACCATCACAGAAAGCTAGAAGGAGGTGATTAAAACGCAAGTTGATCACTTTCATGTTACTAGCAAAGCCTGGGAATCCAGCCAAGGGCTTCAGCAGATGCGGGAACTGTGGACTTGGGTGAGAAGTCATTGTTTTGGGGTTGGTTTTTTTTTTTTCTTACTAAATGTATCATTAAAAATATTTTTTTGGTTAAGATGTCTCGTTGTTCCCATTCTGGATAAATAGCAATTTTCGTATGCAACTCACTCTAATACAGTAAGATAACCAACAGTTTAGTCCAAAAGAAGCTTTAGGATTAATAAAGCATTAAATCTATAGTGTTTTTTTCTAATCAGACAGTAGCAAGAACCCTCATGTTTATCAGCAAATCTTTTTTTTTTTTGTAGTCTGATTTACTCATAGAAGTTAATTAATCTTTAATAATTTGTTCTTTCATTCAGGTTTTTGCCTTTGATTATTGCTTTTGGTCCATGGATGAATCTAATACTACAAAATATGCTGGTAAGTTGGCTCTCTCTCTTCACTTGATTTTTGGGCCTCAGTCTTCGTCTGTTTTCTTTATTCAGCAGTTCTGTTTTTCCCCATAAAATTCACATTCGTTCTTTCCAGTTCTAGCACGTGGCTTTGAAGTCAACAAGATTTGATTTCAGGATCTGTCTGTGCCACTAATTTGCTAAGAAGTCATGGACGGGTTTTTTTATTTTTAAGTGCCAGGCTCTTTCCCTGTAAAGGGGGTATTAGTATCTTCAGAGGTGTTCCAACAGTTAGAAATACTGGGGCACCATCTCCAGCTAGAAATGGTAGCTGTTGGGATTACCACATGAAGAAGAGGTTTAATGTGCCATGTCATTCCTTGTCACTGTTTTGGAAATTCACTGTCCATTGATATGAGCAAAGCACAGATGCTGTTGGTTTCCACGACCCACTCACATCCTGAATGTTCTAGTAGTCACTGGTGATACAAATTACACAATCACAGGGAAACATGACCTCCCAGCCCCACGTTTTGCTGGTGTTCCTTCCTTGAGGCATTGCATCCCTATTCCATTGAACACAGATGACTACTGATTTATTATTTGGTGAGTCTTGGTCCTTTTAAGGAGTTTATCACAATTGCTTTAGCTCAGGAGGGAAGCATTTCTGTTCGTGAAGGAAGTTTGATTACTACTCTTTTGATTGTGTCCCCATTTCCTTAGGTATTTAGTCTTTTTTTTTTTTTTAAGATTTTATTTATTTATTTGACAGAGAGAGACATAGCGAGAGAGGGAACACAAGCAGGGGGAGTGGGAGAGGGAGAAGCAGGCTTCCCGTGGAGCAGGGAGCCCGATGCGGGGCTTGATCCCAGGACCCTGGGACCATGACCTGAGCGGAAGGCAGACGCTTAACGACTGAGCCACCCCGGCGCCCCATTAGGTATTTAGTCTTTTTTTTTTTTTTTAAGATTTTATTTATTTATTCATAAGCGACAGAGAGAGAGAGAGTCAGAGGGATAGATAAGCAGGCTCCCCACTGAGCAGGGAGCCCAATGCGGGACTCGATCCCAGGACCCTGCTATCATGACCTGAGCCGAAGGCAGACGCTTAACCATCTGAGCCACCCAGGCGCCCTAGGTATTTAGTCTTAATGAATGTGTTCTCCTCATTTCTACTAAGAAGAACATCAGCTGAATGACTTTCTCATTTGCTTTTTAAAAAGAATAGTGAGGGATGGATGGAGAGGATGCAGGTCTTACAAGACTAGAAAGCAAAAGGAGATCACTTGCTTGTAGGGAATTTTGTTTCCTGACAATGCTTTCCTTGCCACATAAAGCAAACTTGTTGAGAAATTATTCGATATACAATTTTTTCAAAAGTTAATCTGAAACTAGGGAAATTTCTTCTGTTGCTCACAGTGAGTAAATGAGCCTTTCTTTCCAAACATCATTCTTACACCTTTAGCAAATATATTTCATTGAAGTGAATAAGTACTTCTTAATGTTGGTTGTAGTCAATTTGTCTTTTTATTGGCCCATTAGCACTTTAGACAATAAATTCTACAGAGTCTAGAACAGTCTGCTTTGAGTGTTAGCCCAGTGTGTATTTTGGTGTTGGGTGTGTGCTTTTGGATTTAAATAAACTACAAAAGTAAACGATTTCCTACTGTAACAGAAACAAATGCTGTGGCTATGCAGAGCTCACTCTTTGTTCAGCTGATGTTATTCAGGATACAGCCAGAGAGATGTTCCTGAAGTAGAACTCTACTCAAGGACTCCTCACCACTTAGAGAGAAAATCTATTCTCCTTGGACTACATGTAGGGTCCTTTATTATATATCCTCCATCTACCTTCCTCACCCTCTGCTCCGTGACTCCCACCTGGCCCAGGGCTGTTCCTCTTCTATAACCCAGGGAGCCAGCAGGTCTCAGAATGGTTCCTTAAGGATCCACAAAACCCCTACTGTGTGTGCAGCCTCGGAAAGCCCTTGAGAAATCAAAAAGTTGGGTGGAAAGCAAAAGTGTGCATAACAGACAACATTAAACATTTTGAGATAATATTGAGTTAAACTGTCTGTTTTAATAGATTTTGAGTGCTATAGAAAACCCAAGGAAGGACAAAATCTGGAAGGGCTGAACAGAATTCTGAAGTCTAAACTGAGCTTAGTGTAAACTGATTATTGGTTGACTGATATGGTGCAGAACAGGGGCCACTGCAGTGATGTGGTTAAAATAATGCTTCAGGGAGGTTGTTTTTCTTTGTCGTGTCTTCTAGAATCACATTCTTCCTTATTGTCCACAGAGACCATTCTGGTCTTCTGCACTGTATCAACACATATCCCTGAATATAGGACAAACTTTTTTTTTTTTTAAGATTTTATTTATTTATTTGAAAGAGAGAGCACAGAGGGAGAGGGAGAAGCAGACTCCCCGCTGAGCAGGGATTCCCAATGCAGGACTCATCCCAGGACTTCAAGATCATGACTTGAGCCAAGGGCAGACACTTAGCTGACTGAGCCACCCAGGTGCCCCAGAACAAACTTTTTTTTTTAAATGGGAAATAACTTCATTTAAAGTACAGATAATAAAATTGACATGTGAAACTAAAGATTTCTGGAGCTCTGCGTTACAAATTAGTATGTTCAGAAATATTTAAAAAGATAAAAATGACTTTTAAACTTACTGAGAGCCTAATAAATTTACTACTTTTAATTTGCATGATCACATCAAATAGCATGTTCCATTCAGCCCTGAAATACAGCACTCTCTCGGCTCATAGAGCAATGTCTATTTACAAAACGTGGGGAGAAATTCTTATTCTTTAGACAGCCCTATTATTGTGCAAATCCAATGACCACCTTAGCAAAAAGTAAAATTCTTGCTAGCTGTTCTCAGGTTTGTTTGTATCCATTGTAAATAATCTGCCTACTAAGTATATTACTGGTAGATTTGTTGATTGGTTTCATACTAACTTGATTTCCCTTCTCTTCATTAAAAAAGAAGTTGCAATTCCTTCTTAATGGTGAATAGAAACACTAAGATAGAAGGCTTCATTCTCTGATGGGAAGTAGAGGAAATGGAAAAGGGGGAGCATGGATTTCCTGAAACCGACCTATTTGTCAGGCTCAGTGAATAATGGAATCATTGATACCGACGGAGAGCTCTCGAGGGGGCTCTCAAAACTTGGGGGGCAGAGAGAAGGAGGAGGGGTAGCGGGGAGAGACTTGAAAGCACAGGGATTGAGGGAGCCAAGGGAGGCAGGGCGCTGAGTTTCATGCGGTGTGTCAGAATGTTCCGTTTGACTATTTGTTAAAAGTGACCGCAGCGCCCTTCGCTCTCAAGCTGTCCCACGTAGAAATACGCAAGTCTGTAGCATGTTGGATGGCACGGCAGCGGGCTTTTGGAGTGCTGCGAGGGAGAGTGTGGGCTCCGACGTCAGACCGCCCGGGGAGCCACCGAATCTCACTGCCCCTCTGTTTCCTCACATGTTAAATGAGGATGATAATCATTCCATCTCCTAGGGTTGATTCGATGACCAAATGACCTGTCCGCGGAAAGTACGTAAGCCACTCACTATTTACCGTCTTTGTCATGGTCACGTTGTCGCAGTCCTGAGGGTAATAGCATCAGCTCTGTGGAAAGAGAACGCACTGGAATTGACGAGACTCAGTTTTGCCACCAGCTGCTCACCTTTGGGGATCTGTTTCCTCATCTGTGGGAGGAGGAGACATGGCCCAGGGTGATCTCAGACCCCGTCCTCTCGCTCTCTGATAAAGCATGAATCAGACACTTTATGTTGGCCACACAGCTGTTGTAATGGACTTTTCAGAGGCAAGTCAAAGACTTGTTTGTTAAGCGGTTTGAATTGCCCTGAATCAGGCTCTGAGACGTTTTACATTTTAACTGTATTTATTTCTTATTATAACCTTTGGGTTAGGTAGGCATAATAATGCTTGTCTGGCAGATAAGTCTGAGTCTTTAAAGCAAAAACGCTTGTGCCAGGATGAAGAAAACAAAAACGAAACAAGTGACCTGCAAAAATGAGGGACCCAAAGCTTGGCGTATTTCTACGTAAACTCTCATCTTCCCTGCATGGATCTTCGTACACACAGACGTAGATCCACATTTAGGACTATAAAGCTATTGCAGTGAACACTGACCACACTTGAGAGTGTCATACAGATAATAGATCTTTGTAAATGGTTAAATCACTGCCGATTATAACTGAGGCCTTCTTGATAATGAATCAGTCCATGATTCATCACTGCCTAAAATGTGCCATGTTGGTAAATAACAGTGACTTCCAATCCCCTTGGTTTCAGTTTTCTTCCTAGTGGGGGAATATTTTTCACAAACCTATTTTTCTATAGATCTTCATGCCAAAAATTAAAACCAATCTGGTGAAGGCCGCCTGGCTGGTTCTGTCGGTAGAGCACGCGAATCTTGATCTTGGGGTTGTAAGTTCGAACCCCATGTTGGGCATAGAGATTACTAAAAAAAATCTGTAACCGACTGAGCCACCCAGGCACCCCAAAAATAAAATCTTAAACCTGTCTTGGGGTGGCATATCTGTGGATCAGTGCGGATATGAACATTTCCAGGCCCAGAGCTTCTAAACTATTGACTTAGAAATTATATAACAATTTTCACCATATGGCGTGTTGCTCAAACTTGCTGAAGCCGTGTGTTTTCAGGCATTGTTAATGCCCTGCAGTTCAGGAGAAAGGTTATATATACGTCTGATTCTTGTTCTGCTCGCGTAGCTTTGTGCTGTGTGCATCCGAGCCGTGAGCTGTTGCCGTGTTTGATTCTGTTCCCATGATGGGACGTTTTATGTGCCCAGAGGTAGAAATAATTTCTCTTTCACACTGTTTAACGGAAGTAAGATTAGGAACAAGATAAGACATTTGTGCGATTATTGCTAATTGAAAATTTATATTCTAAAAGCCAGCACTAGCCAAAATAGAACCAATATTTTATCAAAGTTCCAAAATACTTGCTTTAGCAAAGTTGGTTCATTCTTTCATTA